TGTTTTGTTCTACCCACTGTGTCCATTAATAGTTTATCTCTTATACTCAATTTTGTCTGTTGTAAGTGGTCGTCAATTAGAGAGACTATTGCATTTCTCGCGTTCTCTTGATCCTCTTTGTCGTCTAAGGTTTGAATACATTCTTCACTTTCTGCAATGACATTCAGTAAGGGGAATGCCGTTTTTATACCCTACACCACATAGTGGTAAGGGTATTATGTCTTTGTGCATTTGTTTGTAACATGGAGAAGGAAACGAGATAGACCCATAGTTACTTTTGAGAACCTTCATAGAATCACTTTCTGAGTCGATTTATGCATGTCCGTCCGTCTGTCCGTCCGTCCGTCCGTCCGTCCGTCCGTCCGTCCGTCCGTCCGTCCGTCCGTCCGTCCGTCCGTCCGTCCGTCTGTCCATGTATTCTTGTGAACAAAATGCAGGTCGCATTTATTATCCGATTGAGATGAAATTTTCCAAACAATATTTTTTTGGCCCAAGGACGAACCCTATTGAAATTGGTGAGAATCGGATCAAATTTAGATATAGCTCCCATATATATCTTCATCCGATTTCGGGTTAAATGAGCACCAAATGTCCACTATCAGTCCAAATTACCTGAATTTTGGCACACCCAACCGGGTTCGGCCTAGAAGCAAGTATATCAAATTTGGAGAAAATCGGTTCAGATATAGCTATAGCTCCCATATATATCTTTCATCCGATTTGATCTTTAAGTCCCTCACATTCCTACTATGCACTCCACAACCGTGATATTTGGTACCAGGTATTAGATGGAGCACAGAAATAGCTGTTTTAAATTTTATCGAAATCGGTTCAGATTTGGATATAGCTCCCATATATATCTTCATCCGATTTCGGGTTAATTGACCACCAAATGGCCAATATCAGCCCAAATGGCCCGAATTTTGGCACATGTGACCGAGATTAGCCTTAAAGTAAATACAACAAATTTGGAGAAAATCGGTTCTGATTTGGATATAGCTCCCATATATATCTTCATCCGATTTCGGGTTAATTGTGCTCCAAATGGCCGATATAAGCCCAAATGGACTGAATTTTAGTACATCGGACCAAATTCAGCCTAGAAGCAAGTATATCAAATTTAGTGAAAATCGGTTCAGATATAGATATAGCAAGCATATATATGTTTCATCCGATTTAGTGTTTTAGTCCCTTACATTCGTAATGTTCACTCCACAACCGTGATATTTGGTACCAGATATAAGGTACAGCCCAGAAATAGCTGTTTGTAATTTTATCGAAATCGGTTCAGATTTGGATATAGCTCCCATATATATCTTCATCCGATTTCGGGTTAATTGTGCACCAAATGGCCGATATAAGTCCAAATGGACTGAATTTTAGTACATCGGACTAAATTCAGCCTAGAAGCAAGTATATCAAATTTAGTGAAAATCGGTTCAGATACAGATATAGCAACCATATATATGTTTCATCCGATTTAGTGTTTTAGTCCCTTACATGTGATATTTGGTACCAGGTATTAGATGGAGCACAGGAATAACTGTTTTAAATTTTATCGAAATCGGTTCAGATTTGGATATAGCTCCCATATATATCTTCATCCGATTTCGGGTTATTGACCACCAAATGGCCGTAATAGCATCAATTTTGGCAAATCCGACCGAAACCAGCTTAAAAGCAAGTACACCAATTTTAGTAAAAATCGGTTCAGATATAGCTATAGCTCCCATATATATGTTTCATCCGATTTCGTCTTTAAATCCCTCACATTCGTAATATGCACTCCACAGAAATGATATTTGGTACCAGTTATCAGATAAAGCCCAAAAATAGTTGATTTTAATTTTATTAAAATCTGTTCCGATTTGGATATGCCTCCCATATATATCTTCATCCGATTTCGTGTTAATTGTGCATCAAATGGCCAATATCAGCCCAAATGGCATGAATTTTGGCAAATCCGACCGAAACCAGCCTATAAGCAAGTACACACATTTTAGTAAAAATCGGTTCAGATATAGCTCTAGCTCCATATATATGTTTCATCCGATTTGCTCTTTAAGTCCCTTACATTCGTAATATACTCTTCACAGGAATGATATTTGGTACCAGATATCAGATAAAGCCCAAAAATAGTCGATTTTGATTTTATAAAAATCTGTTCAGATTTGGATATAGTATAGCATAGCATACTCTTCACAGGAATGATATTTGGTACCAGATATCAGATAAAGCCCAAAAGTAGTCGCTTTTAATTTTCTCAAAATCTGTTCAGATTTGGATATAGCACCCATATGTATCTTCATTCGATTTCGAGTTAATTGTGCAACAAATGGCCAATATCAACCGAAATGGCATGAATTTTGGCATATCTGCCCAAATTCAGCCTAGAAGCAAGGACACCAATTTTAGTAAAAGTCGTTTCAGATATAGCTATAGCTCCCAAATACATCTTCATCCGATTTCGGATTAAATGTGCAGCAAATGGCTAATATTGGTACATCAAATTTAGTGAAAATCGGTCGGATACAGCTATAGCTCCTATATATACCTTTCATCCGATTTGTACTTTAAGTCCCTCAAATTCGAAAAATGTACGATACAAGAATAATATTTGGTATCAGATGCAGCCAAGAAATATCTTCTTTTTCAGTTTTACAAATATCGGTTCAGATTTGGATATACCTCCTATATATATATTCATCCAATTTCGTGTTGATTGCGCACCAAATGTCCAATATCAGCCCAAATGTCCTGGGTTTTGGCAAATCTGACCGAATTCAGCCTAGAATCAAATACATCAAACTTGGTGAAAATCGGTTCAGATATAGCTATAGTTCGTAAAATGCACGATAGAATTAGATAGATTTTGATTTTGTACCAAATATCTCATAGAGCTCTGAAATGCCCTGTATAAACCTTTTTACGAGAGCTCTACTAAATATGCATAGTGGTGTAGGGTATCATATAGTCGGCCCCGCCCGACTTTTGAGCTTTCCTTACTGGTTGTTGTTGGCAAAGCATATTTGGGGCCCATCGACAACAGCCACTGAACGTCGTTTGGTATGCTTACGTTGGTGTTGTTGGTGAACCATTGGTTGTTGTGCTGAATATTCAATATTGATAGTTGTTCTTGTTTTAATTTTTGGTATTTGTTGATGTGTCTTGTTTTGTTTTTGTTGTCGTAGCTGCGACGGAGAACATTTTCGCTCTCAATGTATTTGTTGTAATCTTCTTCGTCCATTACCTGCTGCAGTTTCGTTTTAGTTTTTTTGAGTATAGTTTTGTTGTTGTGGAGTTCTTTATGTTTTTGTTGTATAATAAGCTTTAATATTTTTATGTGGAAATTGTAATTGTATTTTTCGAGTGTTGATAATAAATTTGGCGGGATTTTCTCATTTGTTTGGAATATGTTGTTGGTGTTTTTAGTAGTGTTAGAGATGAACTTTGGAACTCCTAGCTGTCTGCATTTTATTAAAAAGGTTGTTGATGCTGTCAAAGTTGCTGTTTGCCGGTTACGTTTGGAATATTGCTTGATGTTATTAATCGTGTTTGTGTCATAAAAAAATACGCCACATATTAAGCCAAAATGATTTTCCAAAAAGCACCATTGACGACCTAATTATACACGCAAAACGGACCAAATAAAGGAGGCAAGACAAGAAAAGAAATATAAAGCTGTTACTTACATCCCGGGATTCTCAGAAAGACTTGGTAAATCAAACATCTACAATAAGTACCACTATCAATTAGCGTTTAAATCTCGTAATAATGTCGACAGTCTGTTTAGTAAAACAAAATCTAAAATTAAGAATGAGGATAAGTGCAATGTAGTTTATAGGATAACATGTAATGGGGACGACGCTGACATATGCCAAAAGTCATATGTCGGCACGACAAAGACGAAATTAAAAACTAGACTTTCCGGACATAAATCGGATCAAAAAAGTGACAAGCCTCTCGAACAGAAGACTGCTTTAGCTGCCCATTGCACATTGACAGGACATAAACCCGACCTTAAAACCGTCGACATATTAGCACAAGAAAATAATTACAAAAGACGATTTACATTGGAAATGTTACATATTATAAGTTTACCAAATGACAAACGAATTAATTATAAAACCGATACAGACCATTGTGCTCACATTTACAGAAGCCTAGTTCATAAACACCGACGAAAGAAAACTTAGTTTGATAGTGACATTTAAACTCAATAGACGAGCTTTTTACTTTAAAAATGTATGTTATTTATTGTGTTATATATTGTTAAAATCAGTTTGTAATTTGTGTTTTTTGTAAAACAGATCCCTGAAGATGATTTCCGGAGGAAATCGAAATATTGGATGAATAAAAAAGGAAAAATTCAAAAATAAAACATAGTTTTTTAATGACCTTAAGCCAAGCAATTAACCAAATAAGTAAAATAAATATAACAGGTCAACAATATACAACAACAACATTTAACACGGAAGGCACACCGCATCATAATTAAGAGAAATACGTTAAAAATGCATTTATACAAAGAAATTAAACAAAAATATGACACAAACACGATTAATAACATCAAGCAATATTCCAAACGTAACCGGCAAACAGCAACTTTGACAGCATCAACAACCTTTTTAATAAAATGCAGACAGCTAGGAGTTCCAAAGTTCATCTCTAACACTACTAAAAACACCAACAACATATTCCAAACAAATGAGAAAATCCCGCCAAATTTATTATCAACACTCGAAAAATACAATTACAATTTCCACATAAAAATATTAAAGCTTATTATACAACAAAAACATAAAGAACTCCACAACAACAAAACTATACTCAAAAAAACTAAAACGAAACTGCAGCAGGTAATGGACGAAGAAGATTACAACAAATACATTGAGAGCGAAAATGTTCTCCGTCGCAGCTACGACAACAAAAACAAAACAAGACACATCAACAAATACCAAAAATTAAAACAAGAACAACTATCAATATTGAATATTCAGCACAACAACCAATGGTTCACCAACAACACCAACGTAAGCATACCAAACGACGTTCAGTGGCTGTTGTCGATGGGCCCCAAATATGCTTTGCCAACAACAAAAACGGCATTCCCCTTACTGAATGTCATTGCAGAAAGTGAAGAATGTATTCAAACCTTAGACGACAAAGAGGATCAAGAGAACGCGAGAAATGCAATAGTCTCTCTAATTGACGACCACTTACAACAGACAAAATTGAGTATAAGAGATAAACTATTAATGGACACAGTGGGTAGAACAAAACAATTTTTAAAAGAAAATAAAGATGTATTGATATTAAATGCTGATAAAGGGGGTAAGACGGTTGCAATGCACAAGATGGACTATGATATGAAAATGAAAACCATTTTAAATGATATTTGCACCTACAAAAGGTTAAAGCGGGACCCAACTACGACATTACAGAATAAAAACAACAAATTAATAGATAAATTATATAAAATGGGAGTAATTGACATGATGGAGAAAAATAAATTGACAATCAATACTGCAAATGCGCCAAGAATCTACGGGCTTCCAAAAATACATAAAGAAAGCACACCTCTAAGACCAATATGTTCTTCAATAAATTCACCAGCTCACGGACTTTCCAAGTATATTGTAAATATTTTAAAACACTTGACAGGGGATTCACCATATAACATTAAGGACGCAATTGATTTTAAAACAAAGATAATGAATTTGGAGATTGAAGAAGACGAGGCATTAATATCATTTGATGTAGTTTCTTTGTTTCCCAGCATACCGATTAACCTAGCTTTAAGAACAATATATGAAAAGTGGAACATGTTACAAAAATACACGAAAATACCTAAAGATGTTTTTAAAGAAATACTGACCTTTTGTATAAAGGACTGTAGATATTTCATATACTCGGACAAGGTGTACGAACAACGAAAAGGACTTCCTATGGGATCACCAGCGTCACCGATCATTGCTGACATCGTAATGGAGGAATTATTGGACGCTTCTTTAGAAAAACTGATGACAAAGCCGAGAGCAGTAACTAAATACGTAGACGACATTTTTTGTATAATGAAGAAATCGGATATCAACACCACATTAAATATCCTAAATACATTCAACCCGAGCATACAATTTACACACGAACTGGAGACCAATGACAGACTACCCTATTTGGACTCAATAATAATCAGACAAGGAAGAAAACTTATATTAGATTGGTACCAAAAACCAACGGCGTCAGGACGATTGATTAACTTTTATTCTAAACACCCCCGACGAATAAAAATAAACACAGCGACTAATTTCATCAAAAGGATTTTCAATATAAGTGACGAACAATTCCACTCAGAGAACGAAAGAAAAATACGCCACATATTAAGCCAAAATGATTTTCCAAAAAGCACCATTGACGACCTAATTATACACGCAAAACGGACCAAATAAAGGAGGCAAGACAAGAAAAGAAATATAAAGCTGTTACTTACATCCCGGGATTCTCAGAAAGACTTGGTAAATCAAACATCTACAATAAGGACCACTATCAATTAGCGTTTAAATCTCGTAATAATGTCGACAGTCTGTTTAGTAAAACAAAATCTAAAATTAAGAATGAGGATAAGTGCAATGTAGTTTATAGGATAACATGTAATGGGGACGACGCTGACATATGCCAAAAGTCATATGTCGGCACGACAAAGACGAAATTAAAAACTAGACTTTCCGGACATAAATCGGATCAAAAAAGTGACAAGCCTCTCGAACAGAAGACTGCTTTAGCTGCCCATTGCACATTGACAGGACATAAACCCGACCTTAAAACCGTCGACATATTAGCACAAGAAAATAATTACAAAAGACGATTTACATTGGAAATGTTACATATTATAAGTTTACCAAATGACAAACGAATTAATTATAAAACCGATACAGACCATTGTGCTCACATTTACAGAAGCCTAGTTCATAAACACCGACGAAAGAAAACTTAGTTTGATAGTGACATTTAAACTCAATAGACGAGCTTTTTACTTTAAAAATGTATGTTATTTATTGTGTTATATATTGTTAAAATCAGTTTGTAATTTGTGTTTTTTGTAAAACAGATCCCTGAAGATGATTTCCGGAGGAAATCGAAATATTGGATGAATAAAAAAGGAAAAATTCAAAAATAAAACATAGTTTTTTAATGACCTTAAGCCAAGCAATTAACCAAATAAGTAAAATAAATATAACAGGTCAACAATATACAACAACAACATTTAACACGGAAGGCACACCGCATCATAATTAAGAGAAATACGTTAAAAATGCATTTATACAAAGAAATTAAACAAAAATATGACACAAACACGATTAATAACATCAAACAATATTCCAAACGTAACCGGCAAACAGCAACTTTGACAGCATCAACAACCTTTTTAATAAAATGCAGACAGCTAGGAGTTCCAAAGTTCATCTCTAACACTACTAAAAACACCAACAACATATTCCAAACAAATGAGAAAATTCCGCCAAATTTATTATCAACACTCGAAAAATACAATTACAATTTCCACATAAAAATATTAAAGCTTATTATACAACAAAAACATAAAGAACTCCACAACAACAAAACTATACTCAAAAAAACTAAAACGAAACTGCAGCAGGTAATGGACGAAGAAGATTACAACAAATACATTGAGAGCGAAAATGTTCTCCGTCGCAGCTACGACAACAAAAACAAAACAAGACACATCAACAAATACCAAAAATTAAAACAAGAACAACTATCAATATTGAATATTCAGCACAACAACCAATGGTTCACCAACAACACCAACGTAAGCATACCAAACGACGTTCAGTGGCTGTTGTCGATGGGCCCCAAATATGCTTTGCCAACAACAAAAACGGCATTCCCCTTACTGAATGTCATTGCAGAAAGTGAAGAATGTATTCAAACCTTAGACGACAAAGAGGATCAAGAGAACGCGAGAAATGCAATAGTCTCTCTAATTGACGACCACTTACAACAGACAAAATTGAGTATAAGAGATAAACTATTAATGGACACAGTGGGTAGAACAAAACAATTTTTAAAAGAAAATAAAGATGTATTGATATTAAATGCTGATAAAGGGGGTAAGACGGTTGCAATGCACAAGATGGACTATGATATGAAAATGAAAACCATTTTAAATGATATTTGCACCTACAAAAGGTTAAAGCGGGACCCAACTACGACATTACAGAATAAAAACAACAAATTAATAGATAAATTATATAAAATGGGAGTAATTGACATGATGGAGAAAAATAAATTGACAATCAATACTGCAAATGCGCCAAGAATCTACGGGCTTCCAAAAATACATAAAGAAAGCACACCTCTAAGACCAATATGTTCTTCAATAAATTCACCAGCTCACGGACTTTCCAAGTATATTGTAAATATTTTAAAACACTTGACAGGGGATTCACCATATAACATTAAGGACGCAATTGATTTTAAAACAAAGATAATGAATTTGGAGATTGAAGAAGACGAGGCATTAATATCATTTGATGTAGTTTCTTTGTTTCCCAGCATACCGATTAACCTAGCTTTAAGAACAATAGATGAAAAGTGGAACATGTTACAAAAATACACGAAAATACCTAAAGATGTTTTTAAAGAAATACTGACCTTTTGTATAAAGGACTGTAGATATTTCATATACTCGGACAAGGTGTACGAACAACGAAAAGGACTTCCTATGGGATCACCAGCGTCACCGATCATTGCTGACATCGTAATGGAGGAATTATTGGACGCTTCTTTAGAAAAACTGATGACAAAGCCGAGAGCAGTAACTAAATACGTAGACGACATTTTTTGTATAATGAAGAAATCGGATATCAACACCACATTAAATATCCTAAATACATTCAACCCGAGCATACAATTTACACACGAACTGGAGACCAATGACAGACTACCCTATTTGGACTCAATAATAATCAGACAAGGAAGAAAACTTATATTAGATTGGTACCAAAAACCAACGGCGTCAGGACGATTGATTAACTTTTATTCTAAACACCCCCGACGAATAAAAATAAACACAGCGACTAATTTCATCAAAAGGATTTTCAATATAAGTGACGAACAATTCCACTCAGAGAACGAAAGAAAAATACGCCACATATTAAGCCAAAATGATTTTCCAAAAAGCACCATTGACGACCTAATTATACACGCAAAACGGACCAAATAAAGGAGGCAAGACAAGAAAAGAAATATAAAGCTGTTACTTACATCCCGGGATTCTCAGAAAGACTTGGTAAATCAAACATCTACAATAAGGACCACTATCAATTAGCGTTTAAATCTCGTAATAATGTCGACAGTCTGTTTAGTAAAACAAAATCTAAAATTAAGAATGAGGATAAGTGCAATGTAGTTTATAGGATAACATGTAATGGGGACGACGCTGACATATGCCAAAAGTCATATGTCGGCACGACAAAGACGAAATTAAAAACTAGACTTTCCGGACATAAATCGGATCAAAAAAGTGACAAGCCTCTCGAACAGAAGACTGCTTTAGCTGCCCATTGCACATTGACAGGACATAAACCCGACCTTAAAACCGTCGACATATTAGCACAAGAAAATAATTACAAAAGACGATTTACATTGGAAATGTTACATATTATAAGTTTACCAAATGACAAACGAATTAATTATAAAACCGATACAGACCATTGTGCTCACATTTACAGAAGCCTAGTTCATAAACACCGACGAAAGAAAACTTAGTTTGATAGTGACATTTAAACTCAATAGACGAGCTTTTTACTTTAAAAATGTATGTTATTTATTGTGTTATATATTGTTAAAATCAGTTTGTAATTTGTGTTTTTTGTAAAACAGATCCCTGAAGATGATTTCCGGAGGAAATCGAAATATTGGATGAATAAAAAAGGAAAAATTCAAAAATAAAACATAGTTTTTTAATGACCTTAAGCCAAGCAATTAACCAAATAAGTAAAATAAATATAACAGGTCAACAATATACAACAACAACATTTAACACGGAAGGCACACCGCATCATAATTAAGAGAAATACGTTAAAAATGCATTTATACAAAGAAATTAAACAAAAATATGACACAAACACGATTAATAACATCAAGCAATATTCCAAACGTAACCGGCAAACAGCAACTTTGACAGCATCAACAACCTTTTTAATAAAATGCAGACAGCTAGGAGTTCCAAAGTTCATCTCTAACACTACTAAAAACACCAACAACATATTCCAAACAAATGAGAAAATCCCGCCAAATTTATTATCAACACTCGAAAAATACAATTACAATTTCCACATAAAAATATTAAAGCTTATTATACAACAAAAACATAAAGAACTCCACAACAACAAAACTATACTCAAAAAAACTAAAACGAAACTGCAGCAGGTAATGGACGAAGAAGATTACAACAAATACATTGAGAGCGAAAATGTTCTCCGTCGCAGCTACGACAACAAAAACAAAACAAGACACATCAACAAATACCAAAAATTAAAACAAGAACAACTATCAATATTGAATATTCAGCACAACAACCAATGGTTCACCAACAACACCAACGTAAGCATACCAAACGACGTTCAGTGGCTGTTGTCGATGGGCCCCAAATATGCTTTGCCAACAACAAAAACGGCATTCCCCTTACTGAATGTCATTGCAGAAAGTGAAGAATGTATTCAAACCTTAGACGACAAAGAGGATCAAGAGAACGCGAGAAATGCAATAGTCTCTCTAATTGACGACCACTTACAACAGACAAAATTGAGTATAAGAGATAAACTATTAATGGACACAGTGGGTAGAACAAAACAATTTTTAAAAGAAAATAAAGATGTATTGATATTAAATGCTGATAAAGGGGGTAAGACGGTTGCAATGCACAAGATGGACTATGATATGAAAATGAAAACCATTTTAAATGATATTTGCACCTACAAAAGGTTAAAGCGGGACCCAACTACGACATTACAGAATAAAAACAACAAATTAATAGATAAATTATATAAAATGGGAGTAATTGACATGATGGAGAAAAATAAATTGACAATCAATACTGCAAATGCGCCAAGAATCTACGGGCTTCCAAAAATACATAAAGAAAGCACACCTCTAAGACCAATATGTTCTTCAATAAATTCACCAGCTCACGGACTTTCCAAGTATATTGTAAATATTTTAAAACACTTGACAGGGGATTCACCATATAACATTAAGGACGCAATTGATTTTAAAACAAAGATAATGAATTTGGAGATTGAAGAAGACGAGGCATTAATATCATTTGATGTAGTTTCTTTGTTTCCCAGCATACCGATTAACCTAGCTTTAAGAACAATAGATGAAAAGTGGAACATGTTACAAAAATACACGAAAATACCTAAAGATGTTTTTAAAGAAATACTGACCTTTTGTATAAAGGACTGTAGATATTTCATATACTCGGACAAGGTGTACGAACAACGAAAAGGACTTCCTATGGGATCACCAGCGTCACCGATCATTGCTGACATCGTAATGGAGGAATTATTGGACGCTTCTTTAGAAAAACTGATGACAAAGCCGAGAGCAGTAACTAAATACGTAGACGACATTTTTTGTATAATGAAGAAATCGGATATCAACACCACATTAAATATCCTAAATACATTCAACCCGAGCATACAATTTACACACGAACTGAAGACCAATGACAGACTACCCTATTTGGACTCAATAATAATCAGACAAGGAAGAAAACTTATATTAGATTGGTACCAAAAACCAACGGCGTCAGGACGATTGATTAACTTTTATTCTAAACACCCCCGACGAATAAAAATAAACACAGCGACTAATTTCATCAAAAGGATTTTCAATATAAGTGACGAACAATTCCACTCAGAGAACGAAAGAAAAATACGCCACATATTAAGCCAAAATGATTTTCCAAAAAGCACCATTGACGACCTAATTATACACGCAAAACGGACCAAATAAAGGAGGCAAGACAAGAAAAGAAATATAAAGCTGTTACTTACATCCCGGGATTCTCAGAAAGACTTGGTAAATCAAACATCTACAATAAGGACCACTATCAATTAGCGTTTAAATCTCGTAATAATGTCGACAGTCTGTTTAGTAAAACAAAATCTAAAATTAAGAATGAGGATAAGTGCAATGTAGTTTATAGGATAACATGTAATGGGGACGACGCTGACATATGCCAAAAGTCATATGTCGGCACGACAAAGACGAAATTAAAAACTAGACTTTCCGGACATAAATCGGATCAAAAAAGTGACAAGCCTCTCGAACAGAAGACTGCTTTAGCTGCCCATTGCACATTGACAGGACATAAACCCGACCTTAAAACCGTCGACATATTAGCACAAGAAAATAATTACAAAAGACGATTTACATTGGAAATGTTACATATTATAAGTTTACCAAATGACAAACGAATTAATTATAAAACCGATACAGACCATTGTGCTCACATTTACAGAAGCCTAGTTCATAAACACCGACGAAAGAAAACTTAGTTTGATAGTGACATTTAAACTCAATAGACGAGCTTTTTACTTTAAAAATGTATGTTATTTATTGTGTTATATATTGTTAAAATCAGTTTGTAATTTGTGTTTTTTGTAAAACAGATCCCTGAAGAAGATTTCCGGAGGAAATCGAAATATTGGATGAATAAAAAAGGAAAAATTCAAAAATAAAACATAGTTTTTTAATGACCTTAAGCCAAGCAATTAACCAAATAAGTAAAATAAATATAACAGGTCAACAATATACAACAACAACAATATTTTTAATAAATAAATTTAGTGTCTTACAATCGCTCAAACGGAAAGGACTTTGCGTCTTTTAATTATTGAACCCTGTTTACATGGGGCTATACGAAGACGTGGACCTACATGACCCATTTTCAATACCAAAAGTCCTGCAGACATAAGACACATTTGAGTAAAATTTTATCATCCTACTTTATTTCGTTCGGAAGCTAGAGTAATTTCCACAGACGGACGGATATCGCTAAATCGACATAGAATTTTATGCCGATCAAGAATATATATCCTTTGTGGGGTCTAAAATTTATATTTCGAGGTGTTACACACGGAATTTCAAACTTAATATACCCTCCATACTATGGTGGAGAGTAAAAAAATCAGCGAAAATCCTATTAAAGTATCCGCTATGTTAAACACCATCTATTGAATCAATGCACCTATGAGCTTATGAGAAGAAAAGTTCGAAAGTAAGTTTGATATATGAAGATCGTTTCGGAAATGTGTACTATATGTGCGAACTGTACTAAATGGTACTAAATTTGGACGGATGAACTCGGAATTTTGAAAAGTTGTATTGGGGCCCCTGTTGGTGGTAGGTCTGTGAAAAAGATGTGGTTCTGAAAATGTAAACTTAGTACTAAATAGTACTATATTTGGTACAAATTGGTATTGGGCAAACAGATAGCGCTTGAAATCTGAATTTTGGAATTAGGGATGTTGTTCATTTATAGCCTGGACATATGTGAACTATAATTGTTCAAAAGTATATTGAGTATTGGAAGAAAGGATAGAGATAAAATTCTGAAATTTAATATTCAGATTATTGATGCAATCTTTGTTTAAGACTTATCGATGGTTTGAAAATGCGTCCTATATTTGTACAAAGAGTATCAAATAGTACTAAACTTGATATTGAGTGAAGGAATATAGGTTAAATTCTGAAATAGTTGGTATATAGTTTTAAAAGAAGGAGGTGGATTTGCAATTTGCGTACTATGATTGTTCGAAAAGTTCTAAATGGTACTAAATTTGCCGTTGAGCGAATAGATAGAGCTTGAATCGTTAAATTGAATATTGAGGTCCCTTTCAATAAACACATATAGGTTGAGAGTATACATCTGTCGTAAGAACGATGGCGCCCAACACTTTTATTTATATATATACAGGGTGAGATGAAAAAACTGCAACCAACTTCAGACTACTATCATTTCTAAGCCACTCGTCCGACAGCTGTTAAAATTATTCCAGTGACAGCTCATTACATTGTTTACAAGCGTACAAAAGCATTTTGGTGAGAATTCTCCAAAAAAAAGTTATTCTTCATGGAATTCAAGCGTGATAGTGTGATTTCTTTATATTTGGCTGGAAAACCATAATTGACTATCGTCAGAGCACTCCAGCATTTAAATGTGAATTAATATTTTGTGTCTCGTACCATCGCTCGTTACCGTGATACTGGAAGCGTAGAAATGGTTCGAAAAGCAAAGAAGCGACCAGATCGAAACCCGCGTCGCAGTAGTCGAAAAATGGCTCGTGAGCTGAACATATCGCAATATTCCATTTCGCAAATATTGAAAAATGAGCTCGGGGTAAAGCCATTGAAATTCCAAAAAGTACAAGAACTTACAACGCAACAGAATGAAAATAGACTCAACAGAGCTGAAGAGTTGCTTCGCTTGGACGAAAGTGGTGGTCTGCTGAATTTGGTTTTCTCCGATGAGAAAACATTCGTTGTCCAGCAGACTGTAAACAAAATAAAAATGATCGTATTTACTTGCCAAAGAGGTCAGCTGAAAATGAACACCTTCGGTTGGCCACCAGATTTCCATAACAGCCGATGGTCGCTCTCCGCTCGTATAATTCGACCGTGGCATAAAAATAAATGACAAATATTATCGCGAAAATATTCTGGAGGGTGTATTAATGCCTTTAGCACGCAATCATTTTGACCGCAGACCTTGGACATTCCGACAGAACTCAGCACCATCGCACTCAGCACGCGCCACCCAAGAATGGTTATAAAATGAGGTTCCTTGCTTCAATTCCAGCGCACAATGGCCACCAAAATCCCCGGATACCAATCCATTTGACTATTGTGTCTGGAGTATTTTGGAAAGCAAGGTTGGCACTAAAAAATACCAAAATGTCGATTACCTTAAGCAAGCGCTTCGCCGGGAATGAGCCAAAATACCGCAGAGCAACATTTGGGGAGAGTGTGACGGTTTCATTGGCCGTTTGAAGTTTATAATTCGTGCCAAAGGTGACCGATTAAATCAAATCTAAACATATTCTAAAATTTGATGCTATTTCAGACATTTTTTGCTTTCATTCAATAAAACTTAAAAAAAAAGAAAATTAAAAATTATGGCGTTTGACTTTGTTGCAGTTTTTTTTATCCCACCCTGTATATATTCCTGATCACCACAAAATTATATGCCGATTTAGCGATGTCCGTCCGTTTGTGGAAATCACTCCAGCTTCCGAACGAATTGAAGTAGTTTAATAGCATTTTACTTTAAAAGGGCTATATATGTCCACGTTTTGGTATAGCCCCCACATAAATGTACATCCCTATTTTTGGTATTTGGAAATTTTAAATTTCGTATTAGAAGTTCATAATGGGTACAACAGTCTGTGACAAAAAAATTGTCTTTACAGGTCCACGCCTTCGTATAGCCCCCATATATCGGTACCTCTCTATATTCGTTATTGTGATGATTTTATTAGCATTGTTCACCGGAATTGTTTCAAACTTCGTATTTGAAGTTTCTAATGGTTACTACAGTCGATGACAGAAAATTGTCTATGCAGGTCCAGATCTTAGTATAGCCCCTATAAAAATGGGGTCTCCCTATATTTGATATTTTATGATTTTAGCGAAAACATTCACCACAGTTGTTTGAAATTTCGTATTTGCAGTTTATAACGAGTACTACAACCTGTAACAGAAAATTACATATGCAGGTCCATGTCTTCGTATACAATTTTAACATAACTTTTATAGGATTCTTTATCCATTATAGGATTCTCCACCATAGTATGGAGGGTATATTAAGTTTGTCATTCCGTTTGTAACACCTCGAAATATACATTTAGACCCCACAAAGTATAAATATTCTTGATCAGCATAAAATTCTATGTCTATTTAGCGATGTCCGTCCGTCTATCCGTCTGTCCGTCTGTGGAAATCAATCTAGCTT